GGGGGTGGGAGCATTCAGAGAACACAGGGCACAAAATAACAAGGAGAAATGAAAACCGAGCAACATTCCGGAGGGAAAAACTATCAGAGGTTCAATTGTCAGTTTCATTCACAAATTTATGAAGACAAGTTAAAAAGAAAGCACCATTTCAGCGCCCCCTGGTGGAGACGCCAGTGACCTAGGCTGCCCCACCCCCAAGGCCCCAGGTACACCGAAGGGCTATTTCTGAGGCACCTGTGCCCTCCTCCCCCTCCACCCCCGGCCCACACTTACTCGGCCCTCAGGACGGGGGGCTCACTCCCTCTGTGCATGGGGTCATCTGAAGCCCGCCCCCTTCCCCCCAGCCCCTTCATCCAGGCCCTTGGGGGTGGCAGCCAGGCTTAGGGAGGGCACTTGGTCTCCCCACAGACTGACCCACAGTACACCTCGGTGGTGACAGAGAACATCAAAGCCTTGTGAGTACTGACGGACCCATAAAGCTGGTGGGGGGTGGGGCTCTGCGGGGTGCGGGGCAGACAGGTGCCTGCTTCCCCTACATGATCCTGCCTTCCCCCTGTGGGAAAGGGTGCTTCCCCTCTTTGCTGAAAGAAGGTGGGTGCGTAGAGGTGGCTCAGCCCCTCTGGAGCCTCACTGCCTCCGTAGGGTGGCTGTGCCATTGCGTGATGGCTGCCTGGTGGGTCTGAGCAAAGGGACAGGGTCTGGCTAGCTCAACGCTGCCCCAGCTGCTGTGCCTGGAGGCTGCACACCCACTGGACTCCTGTCCCCCCAGGTTCCCCACGGAGATCCATTCCGGGCTCCTGGAAGTCATCTCCCCTTCCGCCCACTTCTACCCTGACTTCTCCCGCCTCCGAGAGTCCTTTGGGGACCCCAAGGAGAGAGTCCGGTACAAGCACTGCCCCCTGGGGTGCCTGGGTGGCTCAGTCGTTAAGCGTCTGCCTTCGGCTTAGGTCATGATCCCATGATCCCAGGGTCCTGGGATTGAGCCCCACATTGGGCTCCCTGAAGCCTGCTTCTCCCTCTCCCATTCACCCTGCTTGTGTTCCCTCTCTCGCTGTGTCTCTCTCTGTCAAATAAATAAAATCTTTAAAAAAAAAAAAACAAGCACTGCCCCCTTTCCCGTGCCCCTGGCCACCTGCCCAGCTGTGAGAACCCGGTCTGTTGGTGCCCAAGTCCCAGGCACTTCCTTGCAGTGCGTCTGTTTCTCCTTCGGAGGACCGCTGCCTGGGGTTGGGGTGGGGAGTCAGAGCTCCTGAGCCCCTGCCCCTGCCCCGCAGGTGGAGGACCAAACAGAACCTCGATTACTGCTTCCTCATGATGTACGCGCAGTCCAAAGGCATCTACTACGTGCAGGTCAGCACCAGGACCCTGCTTTGCCCCCCACCGGCCCTGGACCCTGGCTGGGGCCTGGGTGGAGCCCCGCCCTGCCCCTGTGCCCGTCCTGAGTCCACCCCCCTTCTGCCCCCCGCCCCATGCAGCTGGAGGATGACATTGTTGCCAAGCCCAACTACCTGAGCACCATGAAGAACTTCGCGCTCCAGCAGCCCTCGGAGGACTGGATGATCCTGGAGTTCTCCCAGCTGGGCTTCATTGGTGCGCCACCCCCGGCCCTGCCTCATGCCGCGGACCTGACCAGGGCCCCTCAGTCCGGCCAGCCTCTGCCTCTCTGTCCTTGTCCCACCAGCTCTGGTACCACACGGGGCCATGCTGGCAAGCTCTTCTGGGAGGGTGCCCTGCAGCCGCAGCGGGCCTGTTGCCCCCCTCCCTCTGCCTCCAGGTGTCAGGCTCCCCACCCCTGTCCGTCCCCTAGTGCCTGCCCCCGCCTGCAGCTGCCCACAGGGCTTGCTGTGCGAGCCTCCTCAGAGAACCCCCACCACGGGGATTAAGGGGAAGTAGGGCAGGGCAGAGTTGCCTACCCAGCACCCTTTCCCCCCTTCCCCACCCCCAGGGAAGATGTTCAAGTCACTGGACCTGAGCCTGATTGTGGAGTTCATCCTCATGTTCTACCGGGACAAGCCCATTGACTGGCTCCTGGACCACATTCTGTGGGTGAAGGTCTGCAACCCCGAGAAGGATGCGGTGAGCAGGGGTGGCACCACCAAGTGCGGGGGAGGGGGGGCACGCAGCCTCCAGCATGGACTGAGGCGAGGAGAGAGCCGAGCCAAGCCCTCGGCTCTCCCCATCCCTCTGCAGAAGCACTGTGACCGGCAGAAGGCCAACCTGCGGATCCGCTTCAAGCCGTCCCTCTTCCAGCACGTGGGCACGCACTCCTCGCTGGCGGGCAAGATCCAGAAACTGAAGGTGGGCTGCGCCGCCCTCGGGCCTGGCTGGGGACAGGCTGGGGACGGGCAGAGCCAGGGGCTGCCGGGGGAGGGGGAGATGGGGGGTGGGAGGGTGGGGCAGGGCTAGGTCTCTCTCTAGGGGGGGCCCTCTCTAGCTCCGCTGTCCCTCCTGGGTGGCAGGACAAGGACTTTGGGAAGCAGGCACTGAGGAAGGAGCACGTGAACCCACCGGCCGAGGTGAGCACAAGCCTCAAGACATACCAGCACTTCACTCTGGAGAAGGCCTACCTGCGTGAGGATTTCTTCTGGGCCTTCACGCCTGCTGCCGGGGACTTCATTCGCTTCCGCTTCTTCCAGCCGCTGCGTCTTGAGCGGTCAGTGCCGGCACCCATAGGTCCACCTTGGGGGAGGGCCAGGGTGGCCACCAGGGGATAGGCCTCACCACCTGCCCCTCTGGGGCCCCCCAGTGAATCACTTAACCTCACCCTGCCTCAGTTTCCTTATCTGAAGAGTGGGGTTCATCATGGTAGCTCCTAAGACTCAAGCAGTGCCCACAGGAGCTCTGTGACAGTGGCCCATCACCTTCGTCCCTGGTTGCCATGCACAGCCCAGTGCTGCCCCCCCCCCGGGGTGGTCCCCAGCCTCACTCAGCACCCCAGGGCCCACCTGCTACACTCCTGGGCCAGGCCTGGCCTTTTCTCCGCCCCACCCGCACAGCAGCTCACAGGCCTGTCTGGCCGCAGGTTCTTCTTCCGCAGCGGGAACATCGAGCACCCAGAGGACAAGCTCTTCAACACGTCCGTGGAGGTGCTGCCCTTCGATGTGAGTGTGGTAGGGGGTGGATGTGCTTGAGGGCCCACCCCTCCCACAGCCACTGGCTTCAGCCCCTTTATGTTGCCCCCAGAACCCCCAGTCGGACAAGGAGGCCCTGCAGGAGGGCCGCTCAGCCACCCTCCGGTACCCGCGGAGCCCTGACGGCTACCTCCAGATAGGTGAGTGGGGGGCCAGCAGGTGGAGATGGGGGGAGAAGCTGGGCTGGGCAGGGGTCTGGGGGCAATGGCTCAGCGCTGCCCTCCCTCAGGCTCCTTCTACAAGGGTGTGGCAGAGGGCGAGGTGGACCCTGCCTTTGGCCCCCTGGAAGCACTGCGCCTCTCCATCCAGACAGACTCCCCAGTGTGGGTCATTCTGAGCGAGGTAAGCGGGGCAGGTCAGGGAGCCGCTCCACGGAGCAGACCGGTCGAGCGCTGAGGCCCCCAGCTGACCCCGAGACCGGCTCTTCTAGATCTTCCTGAAAAAGGCCGACTAAGCGGCGGGCTTCTGAGGGTGCACTTTGGCTGGCCCTGGAGCCACCTGGGAGACCTGGGATGTCGTCGCTGCCGCCCCCCCGGAGGGCCCGGCGCCGCCGCCCCCAGCCTGAGGGGTTCTGCCCGGCCGCCCCGCTCCGCAGGCCTGGGATCGCCGCTGGCCCGGAGGCCCCAGGAGCTGGTGCTGCCCCCCCGCCCGCCCGGCCGCGGGAGGAGGCAGGCGGCCCCCACACTGTGCCTGAGGCCGGCCCGTGCATCCCCGGCCGGAACCGTTCGCATCCCCGGCCGGCTTGAGCCAGGCCGTTTTAGAAGAGCTTTTTCCTGGGCGCCCGCTGTCTCCGGCGCGAACACTGGAATGCATATACTACTTTATGTGCTGTGTTTTTTATTCTTGGATACATTTGATTTTTTCACGTAAGTCCACATATACTTCTATAAGAGCGTGACTTGTAATAAAGGGTTAATGAAGTGCGTGCCTCCAGTGTGAGTGTTCCGAGAAGTCCAGCCGGTGGCGGGAGGCCAGTGCCACCCGTGCCCGCTGCCGCCTCGGCCCTCCGTGCAACGCCGCACGACCTCGGCCGCCGGGTGGGTGACTCGCGGGTGGAGGTGGCGCGGAATCGGGGGCCCGGCTCCCAAAGCCACCTCTGCTTCCCGACCACCGCCCCCGCCCCCCAGCGCGCCCCCTTGCTCCCATCATCCCGCCCCAACTGCCTGCTCCTCTCAAGCCCAAGGCATCCCGGATCTCCCACTTCGTGAGTCCCAGGCCTGCCCTCGTCCCCGGTCCCCAAGGCCCCGCTCACCTTCCGCCACGCCTCCCACCCCCCAGTCTCTGACACGTTTTAGGGTCTGCCCTCCACCTCGGGGGCCCGTGCACGCGCGGCTGCCCTGCCTGGAAAGCTCCTCTCCGCCGGCGTCTCGGCTAAAACTTCACCTTTTCAGGGACGCTCCGTCCGGCCAGCAGGCCCTGCCCAGGTCTGGTCCCCCAAGCACCAGGACGGTTCACCCCCCGAGAGCGCCTGTCACAGCTCCACTGCCCGCACTGGTCGTCGCCCCCACGGCTCCGCCGCGGGGTGCCCCGAACACCCACACCACGTCCTGCTGGACGCCGGGCACCGAGCGCTGACCGGAAAATGGCCCTGGTGTCAGCTGTGAAAGCCGGGGGACGAGGAAGAGGGCGGCTGGGGGACAGCGAAGAGGCGGCAGGCCTCAGAGGAGGGGACAGGCGAGGAGAGCGCTGAACGCAGGGAGGAGGCGCCGCGGGGTGAGCCCCCGCGAGAAGGGCGGCCCCGGAGAGGCCCCGGTCCTTCCGCAGCCCCACCCCCGGGAAGCCCACCCGACTGCCGCTGGGCTGCCCCCGGCTGGGCTCCACAGCGCGCGGTGCGCGAACCCCTCCGACCCAGAGAATGCGCTCGGGGTCCGGTCATCGGCACTTTAATTGGAGATTGGGATGGGGCGAGCACCCGTCCCGTCCTCCCGGAAGCTCCGGCTCTTCTCCGGTTCCGCCGACCGGGCGTCCTCCACCTCAGGCCCTGGGCAGCAGCTTCCCGAGCCGTCCGAGGAGCGCGGCGCGCAGCGCGCCGGGGAGAAAGTGGACAAGCAGGCCGAGCGCCGCCAGCGCCACGAGCAGCCAGAGCGCGCGCGCGCTCGCGTACAGCGGGGTCAACCTGCGGGCGGGGCTCAGCGGGGGGGCGGGGCGACGGCGGCCCCCGCCCCCCGCCCCGGGCCGTCAGGACCCCGCCCACAAGCCCCTACCCCCACCCCCTCCCCTTTCCCCGGGGCCCCGCCGAGGTCCTCACCTTTGCTGCGCCGAGCGCGCGTAGCCCTGAAAGTAGCGGAGGCGCGCGAACAGGTAGACCAGCCCGCACAGGGCCGCGGTACCTGGGAGAGGGGCGGGCGGGGCAGGCTGAGCCGGCGGGCGCGGGACGCCGGGGCGGCGGGGCGCGCGCGCCTGTCCCGAGCGCAGACCTTCGTGAAAGAAGATGCCGGCGACCCAGAGCGTGGCGAGGAACAGCGGGAAGTACTCGCTGCAGTTCACTCTGCGGTGGGGGCGGGCGGCATGAGGGCGCCGGCGTGGGGTGGGGGGGCTCGGACCCTTGCCGCTACCTGGGCTCGCTCCCTTCCTGCCCCGCGCCCTCCCGCCCGGTCTCACTGGGCTCGGTAGACGCGCTCGAACTCCGGCGGCCCGGTGGTGAGCGGCGGCGACACGCGGAAGGCTCTGCGCGCCGAGATCACCTGCAGGGAGAAATAGGCTGGGGGGCGACGATGGGCGGGAGTCAGGTCTGGCTGCCCCGAGGCCCGCACCCTCCGTCCCGTCCCCATCTTTTCTCCTCCTTTCTCCATGCTGACTTGTCACCACTCCCCTTTAAAGCCCTCCTGGAAAATAAATAAAGTCTAGCCAAGGGGATCTCTCGCCCCCAACCCTTGTTTCTGGGCCTGCCCTGTATCCAAGATGCTCAAGAGGGAGGGCAGGGTGCGGGCCTGGGATGCCAAGAGACCCTGTTCCCCCACTCCCACCCCACCTCCCCAGGTGCACCTGTACCCGGGAGGGACCTGCAAGCTCAGGACTTTGCTCCTGAATCCTTTGACTTGCAAAACACAGGCAAATGACCAGCTCCCACTCTTTAGGCATGGACCTAGACTTCGGGGTTCCCTGAACAGGGCATACCACCAAGGCTTGAGGGCAGAGGTGACTTCATCCTACCAGGTACCGGGGAGCACACACCCTGTGATTTATAGTTCCCTGGTCCCCACCTACAGGGCCCACTAGGCGGGGAGGATCTCTTGACCCTACATCAGGCCAGGATCACTCAAGCCTGGGCCCTCTGCCTCCAAACTATGGTATGGGCTCCCGCCTGAATTTTTGTTTTTCTTTTTTTTTAAGATTTTATTTATTTGACAGAGAGAGACACAGGGAGAGAGGGAACACAAGCTCGGAGAGTGAGAGAGGGAGAAGCAGGCTTCCCGCCGAGCAGGGATCCCGATAGGGGGCTCGAACCCAGGACCCCGGGACCATGACCTGAGCCGAAGGCAGACGCTTAACGACTGAGCCACCCAGGCGCCCCTCCGCCTGAATTTCTCTGTTCAGGTGTTCGGACCCCGACCTCCATCTCACAGATATCCCCTCCCCTACCCCCAGGTGGTTGCTGCGGGGACTCTTCTAGTCCCATCCCCGGGCCTCCCGGGGCTCTGTCTCCCTCCATTCCAGCATGGGTGGGTGTGGAGGGTGGGCTGGCCCCAGAGGATCTGAGTGCACAGGGGCCTTCTCTTGGCCTCAGGCCAGGTCCCCACCACACACACACAGCCCCAGCGCTGGTTGTCTCCAGCTGCCTTCCAGCAAGTCCTGTGACCTGGTGCCCTTGGTGTCGTAGCCCTTCCAGGCACCCTGTGAGTGCCAAGGACATGTGTACCATCAGTGTAGGACCTAGAGGGGGGCCTGTGGCTCCCTGAGTAGGGGCTACGAGCCAAGCTTGCTCGTGCAGCAGGAGATCAAGTCAGCCTGTCGCTCCGGCCCCCGCAGGGCCCCTGCCCAGGCTGTGCTTTGTCCTAGCCCCTACAGCCTGGGGTAACGGTGGCCCAAGTGGCAAGAATATCTAGCCTGGGAATGTGTCCTTTAGGGCCAGTCTAAAAGGCCACCACACAGGCCCCTTTGGGGGCTCAGAGAGCAGGTTCCAACCCTGTCCAGCTCCATGTGGATCCCAGTATAGAGAGGATGCCTTTGAAGTCAGAGCTGGGCCCTGCTGGGACCATGGGAGAGGGCAGGATCAGCTGGAGTAGGGCTGCACCAGGCCCATGGCTGCCCCTCTTCTGTACCCACCACACAGAAGAGGGCTTCTGGACCCACCGCCAGGACAGTGTAAGCTTCTCAGCCTTCAACTGGGGTGGGAAGAACAGGCGCCCCAGGAATTTGGGCTAGGGACCCCGCCTCTGCCGGCCCCCCCCCCCAGGGCAGAGGCCCTGCAGGGCAGAAGGCAGGCTGCAGGAGTCCAGGGCCCACCCCTCTCTCAAAAGAGAAGCCAGCTCACCTTGCAGCAGGACTCCCAGGAGGGTGACAGTGGCCAGAAGAGCCACATCGTCCTTCATGGTGCTGGCTGCTCGGCGGAGCCCCTCCCCCCCAAGCTGGTGTGTGAAGAGAGTCACTGGGGAGCTCTTATCGGCTCAGAGGCTGGCCTGGAGGAAGACTGGCCCTTCTCCCCGCCCCTTCTCAGTGGAGGGGGCCTGAGGGAGGGGTGTGACCAGCCAGCGAAAGCGCAGAAGCCTGAGCAGGCAAGGCAGGCGGAAACTAGGGCCAGGCAGGGCCCTGGCAAGGATGGAGCAGCGGGCTGCGCACAGCCCGGCCATTTCCTCCCAGTCATTCTTTTTTTTTTTTTAAGATTTTATTTATTTATTTGAGAGAGGGAAAGCAGAAGGAGAGGGACAAGCAGACTCTGCCCTGAGTGCGAAGCCTGATGCAGGGCTCGATCCCACGACCCTGAGATCATGACCTGAGCCGAATCCAAGAGCCGGTCGCTTAACGGACTGAGCCGCCCCCCCGGGCGCCCCCTTCCCGGTCATTCTTACCTCTTCTGTGCCTAGCGCTGTGCCGGCACAGCCTGTGCGTTCACCCAAGCATACTGCAGCCTTGTCGACCCCGCGTCCTCCAGGCCCTGCACCCTCAGCAGGTCCCAGTTGGCTCTCCGGACCTCCCCTTGTCCTGGGTCCGCTCTCAGGAAACCAGAGGCTCTGCCCTGAACCCTCCAGGCCCCCCGCTGCTACCACTTTCCACTGATCTTCAAGACCTGCTCATTCTCAAATCCACCCCAGCGCCACCTTCCGAGCCCTGCCCTGTCCTGGTCATCTCTCCTCGGGGCACAGATCACAGGCTTCTCGAGGGTTCCCAGCCCCGACCCCACCCCCACCCTGTTTCCCCGCGGACCAACAAGGGCTGTTCTGGAACATGGAACCCTGATGCAGGGCGGTCCCCGCACCCAGACCACACTGGGCGCAGCCACGTCCCTGCTCCCCTCAGGACACCTGATGCCTGCCGGCCTCACAGCTGCCTGGGCTCCATGCTGGCCGAGGCTAACTCAAGAGGGTGAGATGCAGTTCTGGAAACTTCCTTAGAACTTTGGGAAAGGGAACTCAGAGCAGGGAGGAAGATTTCTGAGGGCTCTTTACGGCCACTGGCCACCCTGAGGAGGAGAAAGCCATCACGAGGCCACACTTGGAGAAGAGAGGTGGCTGATGTCCTGGAGAAGCTTACACTGTCCTGGCGGTGGGTCCAGGGGCCACCTTGCCTGGCACAGCCCTCTGGCCAGGCAGCCTTTCCGTTTTGTAAGACAGCCACTTCTCCTTTCGGCTCAGGCTGGTTAGAGGCGTTTGGTCAGCAGTGGCAGAGTCCAGACTGATACGCACGCACGGGCAGGCCAGGCAGCAGGAGGCTCGGAGCGGCCGGGTCTTTGGGGCGACCGCCACTGCATTTAGTCTTGGGCCATTGTGATGCCCCGGCACCCTTTGCCTGGTCACTCTTGGGGAGTCTCCCCACATCAGCGTCCTGGGACCTCAGGAGCTCTGTCCTTGCCACCCAGGGTCGTGGCGCCCTGAGAAAAGGTTCTCAGTCAGCAATCTGAGCGGCCGTGCAGGGCTGCCTCTGCAAGGAAGAGATTCAGCCGCCCCTGAATCCTGCACATAGCTTTTATTTATTTATTTATTTATTTATTTTTATCAGAAAAGCCAGGACAGATGCCTCCAAGCGTGGGAAAGGAGTACAAAGCGATGGCAAATATCTGGAAGCGGGCTTGCATTCTCCCCTTGGCATAGGCACGCAGGGAGTCAGTCATGGGATAAGGGAGGAGTGGGATGTTCACGCTAGCGATCACCAGGTGCAGAAAGGGGGGGACTGAGGTTACATTCCTTCCTGGCTCCTAACTCATGCCCTGCCCCCCGAGGATCGTAGGATCCTGCTCCTACCGGGCCACTGCGTTCAACAGCCCGAGAACAGGAACGCTGCCGACGTCTCAGCTGCTCCCACACTCACCCCTTAGGGCTCACAATATATTTTCTTTTTTTTTTTAATTTTATTTTTTTATTTTATTTTAAGATTTTATTTATTTATTTGAGAGAGAGAGAATGAGAGAGAGAGAGCACGAGAGGGAAGAGGGTCAGAGGGAGAAGCAGACTCCCTGCTGAGCAGGGAGCCCGATGCGAGACTCGATCCCGGGACTCCAGGATCATGACCTGAGCCGAAGGCAGTTGCTTAACCAACCGAGCCACCCAGGCGCCCTCACAATATATTTTCTAAGAGTAACTCCACAGCCCAGCTGGCCTCCTTCCTGGCTGCCCCCCAAGCCTGGGTTCCAGCCTGAGAGCTTTGTAACCTGATGGGCTCCCCAAGAGCCCCTTTCCTCGCCCCTCTCCTGGCCCGGCCAGTGCCCAAGGAATTCCCTTTGCCGGCAGGGCCCCCAGGGACCCAGCTGGTCCCGGGGGGGGGGACGCTGCAGGCTCCGCGGCGGCAGGGGTGGGGCTCCGCGGCGGCGCCCGGCTTTACACCGGCTCTGCGCGTGCTCCGTGGTGGAGACGTGACCGACAGAAGCTCGGAAACAGACCGGAGACGTGCCCTCCAGCTCGCTCGCTCGCTCGCTCTCTGCCGCCCAGCCCCCTTCCTCCCTGAAAGCGGTCCTGACCACAGCCCCCTTGCTCTGGCCTCCCGTCCGGCCCCCGCTGGGCCGTCTGCGTGGACCATGCGTGTCTGCCTGCCGTCGGTCGTGGCCTGTGTCTCTCAGGGCCCCTGTGCTGGCCACGTGTGGGAGCTCACATGTGTGTCTGTGGGTCTCCACGCGTTTCAGGAGCTCCCCTCTGCCAAACCCTCATTTCCTCTGAGGCCTAGATATCCTCCCTTCCAGGCCGATCCCCCCGGCAACAGGAAGCTGAGGTCTAGCACAAGCAGCTTCTGAGGAAGTTCTTGGGCAGATGTCCAGGCCATAAGTGGGGTCTCCACCCCTGGAGCTCTCCCCGGACCTTTCCATCTGCACCGCCCTCCCTCTGCCCACGCCCAGCCTCTCAGGGCCCTGCCTGGGCTGGGCCTGCTCAGGCTGACCTAGGTTTCGACTGAGGCCCCTCCAGGCACGGCACAACGAGCCGCCCTCCTGTGCAGCCCTGAGGTGCTAATATCATAAAGGAAGCAGAAAAGCCCCTCCCTGAGCCCCTGCAGGATGCGCCTCTGTGACCCTGGACCATTCCGTCTGTGCTACAGGCCCTACAGCGCCCTGAGGAACATTCTGGAAGCTGAGCTCATCAAGGACCTCTGAGGAGTGGAAGAGCTAGCAGAACTATTTTGCTGAGAAGAAACCACAACTTCAGAACAACAGACCATGATAAACAGTACAGAACTCAGACGATAAGCTAAATTTAAAAAAAATAATAAAAGGGGAGTGGCGGGGGGGTGGGGGGGTGTACCTGGCTAACTCAGTTGGTTGGAGCTCATGACTCTAAATCTTGGGACCCACACTGGGTGTGGAGATTACTTAAATTAATAAACTTAAAAAATGTTAAGTGGCGCCTGGGTGGCTCAGTCGTTGGGTGTCTGCCTTCGGCTCAGGTCATGATCCCAGGGTCCTGGGATCCAGCCCCGCATGGGGCTCTCTGCTCAGCGGGAAGCCTGCTTCTTCCTCTCCCACTCCCCCTGCTTCTGTTCCCTCTCTCTTGTCTCTCTCTCTGTTAAATAAATAAATAACAAAAAAAAAAAATCTAAAAAAAAATAAAATTCTTTTACTTACCAAAAAAGTTGCTTCTGCAACTTTGCAACACAGTTCCCAGATACCCTTCCCCCAGCTTCCTCTAATGTTAAATCTGATATGCCATAATTCAATTATGTAAACTGAGAAATTCACGTCAATACAAACCTATTGGTCATTCTACAGAGCTTACTCAGCTTTCACCAGCTGTCCCACCAAACAGGACAAGGACCTCCAAACGATTATGCTAAGTTGTGCCAAACACAAAAGACCATATATTGTATGGTCTTTATATAAAATGTCCAGAAAAAGCAAATCAAAAGAAGCAGAGAACAGATAGATCACTGGCAGTCTGGGGCTGGGGGTGTGATGAAGACCTTCTAAAACCAAATTATGGGGGGGCGCCTGGGTGGCTCAGTTGGTTAAGCGACTGCCTTCGGCTCAGGTCATGATCCTGGAGTCCCGGGATCGAGTCTCGCATCGGGCTCCCTGCTCAGCAGGGAGTCTGCTTCTCCCTCTGACCCTCTTCCCTCTCATGCTCTCTATCTCTCATTCTCTCTCTCTCAAATAAATAAATAAAATCTTTTAAAAAAATAAATAAATAAATAAAACCAAATTATGGGGGGGGGCGCCTGGGTGGCTCAGTCGTTGAGCGTCTGCCTTTCAGCTCAGGTCATGATCCCAGGATCCTGGGATCAAGCCCCGTGTCGGGCTCCCTGCTCGGCGGGAGACCTGCTTCTCCCTCTCCCTCTCCCCCTGCTTGTGTTCCCTCTCTCGCTGTCTCTCTCTGTCAAATAAATAAATAAAATCTTTAAAAAAAACAACAACAACAAATTATGGGGATATTTGCACAACTCAGTACATTTACTAAAAGTCATTGAAAGGGACACTGAGGGCGCCTGGGTGGCTCAGTTGGTTGGGCGACTGCCTTCAGCTCAGGTCATGATCCTAGAGTCCCGGGATCGAGTCCCACGTCAGGCTCCCTGCTCAGCGGGGAGTCTGCTTCTCCCTCTGACCCTCTTCCCTCTTGTGCTCTCTATCTCTCATTCTCTCTCAAATAAATAAATAAAATCTTTAAAAAAAAAAAGAAAGAAAGGGATACTGAAAATGGGCAAATTTCGTGGTATGCAGATTGGTTGACACCTGAACAATGCACCAACAGTAAAAAAATCTGAGTATTATTCCCTCAAAACTTAACTTTAACAGCCTATTATAGACCAGAAGCCTCACCCAAAACGTAATCAATTAACACATATTTTTTATTTTACATGTCTTACATACTACAGCCTTACAATAAAGTAAGCTAGAGAAAATTATTAAGAAAATCATAAAGGGGGCGCCTGGCTGGCTCAGTCGGTAGAGTGTGTGACTCTTGATCTCGGGGTTGT